TTTGGAAGTTGCGTTCCTTACGACACATAATGAAGAATGTATGGAAAAGAAATCCCCCCCCCCCAAAAAAAATAATAATATTAAATAATATTGCATCGTAGTGATTTTTATTACATATTAATATAAGAATATTAATAATTAAAGCTTATGAATAGTCTGAAGTGAGTCTGGTCAGCAGAAGCTGGCCAAGGCTTTCAGTCTCTCCTGTTGATTAATGTTGACTTACAACACTGAATTGCTTACTTTCAAGCCATGACACGTGATCCCCATTCTTCCTTTTTCCTCTCTTCCCTAAGTAATCTCTCTCTACCTTCCCCTGCCCTTCCTTCCCTTCCACCTCCTCTCTTCCTTCGCTTGCCTTTTCTTTCCTTCGTAACCCCTCTCTACCTTCCCCTTCCTTTCTTCCCCACGTAACTCCTACTTACTTTCCCTTCCCCTGACATGCCTTCCCTACCCTTCCTCCCCTTCTTTCCCTTCGCTAGAGTAGAGTCATACCAGAGAGAATACAAAGACAGCCATTGACTACCGCCAGAATGCAGAGCCCTGCTAGAGTGAACATAGAGCCTGACAGAGTGAAGAAATACGCGAGAGAACGTAGAAAGCCCCGCCAGAGAGCGTCAAGAGCTCTTCCAAAGAGAGCTTTAAGAGTTCCACCAGTGTAGAACCAGGATGGAGTATAGTGCCTCTGAACTTGAAGCATAGAGCCCCACCAGACAGAGTATAGAGGTTGTGAAGAGAGAGAGAGAAAGAATACAACTCAGAAAGATCACAGAGCATGGCATAGAGTATAGAGCCCAACAAGGGCAATGAACTTTTTCATAGTAAGTATAGAGCCCGTTAGAGTATAGAGCCCCTCAAGAGCAAAGAGCCCTTCCAAATAGCGTATACAGCTGCATCAGAGAGTTTAAAGCCCCGCACAAGAGAATATAAAACCCCTTCAGAAAGTAGAGCCTGATCTATGCAAGAGCATAGAATCTAGTCAAAGACTAGACTCCTGCTAGAGTTTAAAACCCCCATAATAGAATAGTCCCTCTATAAAGAGTATAGAGCCCTTTCAAAGGACTCCACCAGAGAGTAAAGAGCTCCGTTAGGGTATAGAGTACCGCAATAAGGTATAGAAATTTGAGAGAGAGAGAGTAAAGAGCTTTTCAGAGAGAGTACAGAGCCCCAACAGAGGGAACACAGAGCACCACAGGAGTATAGAGCCCCGCAAAAGTATTGAGCCCCAAAAGAGTATAGAGTCCCACAAGAGTCTCTCTCTTACATGAAGAGTAACGTCACTTGCAAAGCAGCTGATCAGAGCCACCCGCATCTGAATTATGCTTTGTTATTAATGACGCAGTTGCTGTTTGTGTGTGTGTGTGTGTGTGTGTGTGTGTGTGGTGTGTGTGTGTGTGTGTGTATGTGTGGGTGTGTGTGTGGGTGTGGGTGTGTGTGGGTGTGGTGTGTGTGTGTGTGTGTGTTTCAAAGGCTTCTCGTGATCGCTTCTCTTCCTCGGGTGAGCAAGTGTGATCGGAGTTGACTTCGTGACTGAAATGCAGTGTTCAGGCAGCTTAACCACCGTAGGCAGTTTTTGTATGTGTGTCGCTGCGATGTCCTCAGTGCAGTGTAACACTGATGCTTTTCTTCACTTGGCTGGTGGATTACTGTTTAATGCCACTGTTGAGTGAAAGATGGGAAGATTCTGTTACTGTTCAGTGCCACTGCTTAGTAAGAAATGGGAAGAGTTTCTTTACTGATAAATTGATAAGTGAAAGACAGGGAGGATCTGTTATTGATCATTTGATAGATTTAGTGAAGGATTTTGGTCAGTACTACACGGTTAGTGTTTAGGTCCACTGGTCAATGATAAATAGTATCTGTTATTCATTAGTTGATCATTCCCACTGCTCAGGGAAGATAGTAATAGTTAGTGTAAGCAGAAGGATGTGTTATTAATGAACACACTACTTAGTGGAACAGAGGATGTGTTATTAATGAACACACTACCTAGGGGAACAGAGGATGTGTTATTAATGAGCACACTACCTAGTGGAACAGAGGATGTGTTATTAATGAACACACTACCTAGGGGAACAGAGGATGTGTTACTAATGAACACACTACCTAGTGGAACAGAGGATGTGTTATTAATGAACACACTACCTAGTGGAACAGAGGATGTGTTATTAATGAACACACTACCTAGTGGAACAGAGGATGTGTTATTAATGAACACACTACCTAGGGGAACAGAGGATGTGTTATTAATGAACACACTACCTAGGGGAACAGAGGACGTGTTATTAATGAACACACTACCTAGGGGAACAGAGGATGTGTTATTAATGAACACACTACCTAGAGGAACAGAGGACGTGTTATTAATGAACACACTACCTAGGGGAACAGAGGATGTGTTATTAATGAACACACTACCTAGTGGAACAGAGGATGTGTTATTAATGAACACACTACCTAGGGGAACAGAGGATGTGTTATTAATGAACACACTACCTAGGGGAACAGAGGACGTGTTATTAATGAACACACTACCTAGGGGAACAGAGGATGTGTTATTAATGAACACACTACCTAGAGGAACAGAGGACGTGTTATTAATGAACACACTACCTAGGGGAACAGAGGATGTGTTATTAATGAACACACTACCTAGTGGAACAGAGGATGTGTTATTAATGAACACACTACCTAGTGGAACAGAGGATGTGTTATTAATGAACACACTACCTAGGGGAACAGAGGACGTGTTATCAATGAACACACTACCTAGGGGAACAGAGGACGTGTTATCAATGAACACACTACCTAGTGGAACAGAGGACGTGTTATCAATGAACACACTACCTAGGGGAACAGAGGACGTGTTATCAATGAACACACTACCTAGGGGAACAGAGGATGTGTTATTAATGAACACACTACCTAGTGGAACAGAGGATGTGTTATTAATGAACACACTACCTAGGGGAACAGAGGACGTGTTATCAATGAACACACTACCTAGGGGAACAGAGGATGTGTTATTAATGAACACACTACCTAGTGGAACAGAGGATGTGTTATTAATGAACACACTACCTAGAGGAACAGAGGATGTGTTATTAATGAACACACTACCTAGGGGAACAGAGGATGTTATTAATGAACACACTACCTAGAGGAACAGAGGATGTGTTATTAATGAACACACTACCTAGAGGAACAGAGGATGTGTTATTAATGAACACACTACCTAGAGGAACAGAGGATTGTTATTAATGAACACACTACCTAGGGGAACAGAGGATGTGTTATTAATGAACACACTACCTAGAGGAACAGAGGATGTGTTATTAATGAACACACTACCTAGAGGAACAGAGGATGTGTTATTAATGAACACACTACCTAGGGGAACAGAGGATGTGTTATTAATGAGCACACTACCTAGAGGAACAGAGGATGTGTTATTAATGAACACACTACCTAGAGGAACAGAGGATGTGTTACTAATGAACACACTACCTAGTGGAACAGAGGATGTGTTATTAATGAACACACTACCTAGGGGAACAGAGGATGTGTTATTAATGAACACACTACCTAGAGGAACAGAGGATGTGTTATTAATGAACACACTACCTAGTGGAACAGAGGATGTGTTATTAATGAACACACTACCAAGAGGAACAGAGGTTGTGTTATTACTGAACACACTACCTAGAGGAACAGAGGATGTGTTATTACTGAACACACTACCTAGTGGAACAGAGGATGTGTTATTAATGAACACACTACCAAGAGGAACAGAGGTTGTTATTAATGAACACACTACCTAGAGGAACAGAGGTTGTGTTATTACTGAACACACTACCTAGTGGAACAGAGGATGTGTTACTAATGAACACACTACCTAGTGGAACAGAGGATGTGTTATTAATGAACACACTACCTAGGGGAACAGAGGATGTGTTATTAATGAACACACTACCTAGAGGAACAGAGGATGTGTTATTAATGAACACACTACCTAGTGGAACAGAGGATGTGTTATTAATGAACACACTACCAAGAGGAACAGAGGTTGTGTTATTACTGAACACACTACCTAGTGGAACAGAGGATGTGTTATTACTGAACACACTACTCAGTGAAAGAGGATCTGCTATTTCTCCCTCGTACTGCTTAGCAAAAGAGAGGATCTCTTATTCATTGATTTCACTTATTAATCCCACATCTCAGTAAAATATGGGAAGAATAAAAAAAAAAAACATACCACGGGCGGGAATTGAACCCGCGGTCAGAGAGTCATTACGATTTCGTGAGTCATGGAAAGAATGGCCAGTTAGTGCTGTCTCCTCTGGCTAGAGCGTTGGATCACAATGAACACCAGAATATCCATTTCTTGTACACTGGCTTCAAGAGTTTGTTTTCCAGCATATCTGCCTTGTAATTTCATCCCCCAAAACATGTGATTAGCCCAGGAACCTTATTCCTAGTGCTAGGTGGCCAGTGACAGCAAAGATATAAAGAATCTTGCCCATCCGTCTTACCTGTCTCAGGAATCGATCCTGGGACGTCTCGCTTGTGTGCCGAACGCTCTGACCACTGAGCCACGGGTAAACCAACCCAAAATGTCCTCTTGTCTTATATCAGATAAGTGCATACTATACGAGAATAGAGTTGGCGAAATACATTGAAAATCTAAGCTTTATTTTAGTAGAACATTATATGGTTTTGTGAATGATATGAAGAGTTGATGAGTGAACCAGTAAATAAGGTTTCATCTCATACAAACTCTGTATGCTCTACGAGGCGCATCTTAGGGTCATAATACTGAATAAACAAGTGCAGTGGAAACCCCACTCACTGGTGGCTGTTGTGATGCTGAGTTCACTTTCATCCCTTGAAGTGTGTATGCGTCAGTAACCTGAGAGTCGAACTAGAGGCAAAAACGCGAAGTGGTGACGCCCCCGTTGAGGAAGGCGCCAGCCCTTGAGGCATGCCGCGTGGCTTACCTGTTCTTAGCCGCTGCTGCTCTGTCTCGCTGCCTCCGGTTCTTGAACCAGTTGCCAACTTGTGTAGGAGTGAGACCCGTGGCCGAGGCCAGCTCCCTCTTCTTGCTGGGGTTGGGATAGGGATCCTGCAGGTAGGACTCACGAAGTAGAGATCTTGTGCGTTCCTTGAAGCAGTGGGTTTTCTGTTCGCCGTCCCAGATGGTCCTAGGAAAGGGAAACTTCTTACGAACTCTATACTTGTCGACTGGGCCCAACGGGCGACCACGAAGACGCTCTGCCTCCTGGTAGTGCGCCTCCAGCCACAGCGCCTGTAGCCGCGCGTGGGAAGGTTTCGAGAATCGTTGAGACTCCAGGATAGCGTAGAGCTCTCGGAAGTTTCCCACGTGGAAGGAGACGAGGGCTCGCGCTCGCAGCACCGCCTCGTGTTTGTTGAGGTCGTGAAGGTGCGGGTGAGCCACTGGTAACGACCACAAGAACCGTCCAAGACGCTCCATATCACCACTTTCTTCTAGAGTCTCGCAGACGGCGGCCACTTGGGCGGCGGTGAAGGAGAGTGAGGGTAGCGGCACCATCGGTGTCGGCACCACAGGACTGCTAGAACCTCCTAAACTCCCGGCGTTCGCCGCATTGGCGCTCAGGGCGTTTAGTGCCGAGAACGTACCGAAGGAACCGAAAGATCCCAGGCTATTGAGTCCAGTCATGAGCGCCATGTTGGGCTGCAGCGCCCGCAGCAGGTCCGCGACGGAGGACGCCAGCTTGGCGGTTTCAACGGCAGGCGAGGACTCCAGCGAGGCCGCCGCGCAGTGCCGCTGGCGGGCCAGGAGGCGGGGCTCCGCACTGCCTCGCCCTCCAGGAGCCACTTCCACCAATCACCGCCTCGCTCCGCCCTTAACCCTACCCATATAGCTGTTCTTACATGCCATTGGCTGCCCGTCCACCGTCGCCATGACAACGCTGTCAATCATCGACCGGTCTGCCAATCAGTGGCGGGCAGCGGCGACGCTCGGTGGCGGCTCGCGTTACGGCCGTGTTGATTCGGTAACAGAGCCCGGCCTCTGATAGGCAACTTAGCGCCGCCACCCGGGCCTCAGTAATGGAATAATGGGGGACCAGGTCTATCGACCGGGCGCGCCGCTCCCTGGCTAACACACAGCAATACCGCCTTTCTATCCGTAGACACAAGGACCAAGCCCTGAGGGTCACCCCGACGATCAATCGAGGGTCAGCAGCGTGTCTGATCACCGCCCAGATACCCGACACCACGCCCACACCCTCACAGTGCCATTATCCAGTCCTCACGCACCCAGCACCATTATCCTGCTCTTCCTTCCACACATACAGACGCAACCAAAAACATCATCCTTGTTGCCTTTGAGACTTGACAATAGTCACCGAGGCGACCGAAACATCGTCTATTTCCCATTACCAATTCGTGGGTTTCTTGTGAAATGCCAGGACCATTATTTTACCAGATTTACTCAGTACTATTATCCTCCACTCCTCCCCCTTCCCCCCCACACACACGAGCACCATTATCCTGCCTCAAACTCTCAACAAAACCTACGCTGATGTTATAAATCATCGTATTTGTCATTATTTAATTTACACTTACCATGATTTTTTTATATACGGTCGATTTGTATCTTAGACATGACTTTTGTTTTCTGGTCTTCGTCTTTCCTGGGATTTATATTCCTTGACCACTTAAAAAAAAGGACACTAGTCAGTCAACGGTTTAATTGTTAGGAACGATCTATTGCAGCGTCTACAACATGTTGGTTTGTTATAGACGTATGCCACATGTGGTGTTGCAGACGTATGCCACATGTGGTGTTGCAGACGTATACCACATGTGGTGTTGCAGACGTATGCCACATGTGGTGTTGCAGACGTATGCCACATGTGGTGTTGCAGACGTATACCACATGTGGTGTTGCAGACGTATGCCACATGTGGTGTTGCAGACGTATGCCACATGTGTTGCAGACGTATACCACATGTGGTGTTGCAGACGTATGCCACATGTGCTGTTGCAGACGTATGCCACATGACGTGTCGCAGACGTATGACCCATGTGGTGCTGCAGACGTATGCTCCCAGCTGAAGTGGCGTAGGAGTATGTCACACGCGATGTGATCATATGTTGTCACGTGATCACTGCTGATGTTGCAGATACGTGCCACATGTTTTGGTGCTGCAAACGTATGTGACATGTGTTGTTGCAGATAAATCCTTCAAATTGTAATGTTGCATATGTGTCTTATTCAGCAGTTTATCGGTATTGTATACCACTGATTTACTGATACTTATACCACGTTAACAGTAAAAAATGGAACAGAAGATGGGCAGTTGTATGTCCGAGAAAACTTAATAGCTGCATACAAACAGGTATGAAGGCTGAAGGAGGATAAAGAGAGTCTGTCTGGGTAAACTTACTAGGAGAGCATAAACAGTTTATTTAAGGTGTGATATATCGACCCCGAACTTGGAGAGCGACAAGGGAGACAGACCTCTTTGGGACGAAATTGTTAATTAAGGCTTAACCTCAAGACGATGTAGTAATTCCAGGGGATTTTGATTTCAGCTAAATTGACTGGAAGTTTTTGACTAGGAATTTAGCGTCCAACCACTTTCTAGAAGTAGTCGAGGACTCCTTTTCAAGGTAGTGTGTGTGACAGAACCAACCAGACGTAAATAAGGAGACCGAAGTAAACAATTTATAAATCACGAATGAGCTTGACACAAGTGATCACAAATCTATTTATTACCTTTAACATTAACTTGGAAATGATAACAAAGATAACGTAGTAAAGGTCTCAGACTTTTGTTCTCCAGATTATAAAGGACTTAGAGCACCTGTCTAGCACCTGCGGGTCATCATATGACTAAGCGTCGGGAAACATTTGTCCTGTTTCCTGACAAACGTTATATCTACTTATCCAGCACTGACTGCTGGTCCCTGGCTGGTGATCTGTTGAGGAAGATCTTACAAACAGTAACAACGTACCCAAATTATTGGTGCTTTCTTCCTTCCTTCTCTTGGATTGAACCTGGTCACCTCCCACTCCCTATGGGATGAATGATCCTACGAGTTTAACGCTTCTCCATGAATATATTAAGTAATTTAGACAGTAGTTCAGACTTGCTGACTGCAGCGCGACAGTCCAGACTCTTGAAGACGTGACCACCACCTGACAAAATTATTCTTGAAATTAATAATTACATTAATCCTCGCTCCTGCCAATATCCTTTTTAAACAAAGTTCCTTGTAGGCTAAGCTTTTCCTAAATAAATGTGACAAATATATTCACCCAACAGTTTGTCAGTATTGACACGTCTTGTACCGGTACTCTGTCACCTTAGGAGTTTTTCCTGCACATTTTTGTCCACTCATAAGCTAAAACTAGAGAAGCATAGACGAGTAGTTCCACACTAGATAGGTCCCACTCACACTCAGCAGTGCAGAAGACTTACTGGTCTATGATAGGCAGGTCTCACTAACACCCAGCACTACAGTAGACATGCTGGTTCATGCTAGACAGGTCACGCTCACATTCAACACTACGGTAGAGCAACTTATCCTGACCATATATATATATATATATATATATATATATATATATATATATATTATATATATATATATATATATAACGCTCTTCTTGCCGAATAAGGCAATTGAAAATTTGTGTATGTAATAATTTCGCAAAAATCATTCTGAACCTAACGAACAAAAATATTTTCAATATATTTATTTATTATTAATTAATTTTAAACTTATCTAAAATATATTTAGTTGGATTAGGCTAAATTAAATTTCGCTTGTTATAATAAGGTTAGGTAAGTTTTCTAAGGTGCTTTCGGTACAGAATTATTATTTTTTATATAATACAGAATAGAGAGAATGTTTGATACAGCAACACAAGATACAGTTTAAGACGTATTAATTTGTGGAATTTTTCACCTGTACAACAGAATTCCTTCTTTCTTCTTTTTCTTCTTCTTCTTCTTCTTCTTCATTTTCATCATCATCATCTTCTTTTTCTTCTTCTTCTTCATTTTCATCATCTTCTTCTTTTTCTTCTTCTTCTTCTTCATTTTCAGCATCATCTTCTTCTTCTTCTTCTTCTTCTTCTTCTTCTTCTTCTTCTTCTTCTTCTTCTTCTTCTTCTTCTTCTTCTTCTTCTTCTTCTTCTTCATTTCATCATCTTTTTCTTCTTCATTTTCATCATCATCTTCTTTTCTTCTTCTTCATTTTCATCATCATCTTCTTCTTTTTCTTATTCTTCATTTTCATCATCTTTTTCTTCTTCTTCATTTTCATCATCTTCTTCTTTTCTTCTTCTTCTTCTTCATTTTCAGCATCATCATCTTCTTTTTCTTCTTTTTTCTTCTTCTTCTTCTTCATTTTCTCATCATCTTCTTCTTTTTCTTCTTCTTCTTCTTCATTTTCTTCTTCATCTTCTTCATCTTCTTCTTCTTCTTGTTCTTATTATTGTTATTATTATTATTTTATTATTATTATTATTACTATTATTATTATTATTATTATTATTATTATTATTATTACTATTATTATTTATATTACATTATTATTATCATTTGTTGCTTCATTAGATTGAAAGTTGACCATCAACAAAATAATGATAAACCTTGTATAACACCTATACACCACTAGTCAGAGATTCTCTAATACACAGTACAAGGATTAGCGTAAACTTTAAGTGTGAATATACAGAGACGTATAATTATCTTTGTATATACATCGCTGCTTTCACTGTATACACATTAAGGGATATATTTTCTTTATGAGAGAATCATAGTGGGTTGATTGGTTAATTAGGGTTAAAGCCTGTTAATTCAACATGTGACCTGTTTACCACAAGTGTAAGTTTATGGAAATTAAGGTATTATTGTATATATATTATATATATATATATATATATATATTATATATATATATATATATATATATATATATATATATAATAACAATAGTGCAGTATTTTGTTTAATAATGGCATTATTATATATTATTTCTCTAGTGCAAAGTTGTCTCTGTTTCAGAGCCAAAAGCCTTTCTTTTTAACTTTAGTAATGTATACAGAAGAAGGTGTTACTAGCCCCTTGCTCCAGGCATTTTAGTCGCCTCTTAAGACACGCATGGCTTACGGAGGAAGAATTCTGTTCCACTTCCCCATGGAGATAAGAAGAATAAAGAAGAACAAGAGCTAATAAGAGAATAAAAGAACACCCATATGGGTGTGTAGATACATATTCGTGTACATGCATGTGTAGTGTGAGATAAGTGTCAGTAGAGATAACAAGATATACCTGCTATCCCGCGTGTTTATGAGACAGAAAAAAGACACCAGCAATCCTGCCATCATGTAAAACAATGACAGGTATCCGTTTGACATTCACTTGGCAGGACGGCAGTGCCTCCCTGGGTGAATCTTTTAAAAGACTCTTTATCAATACAGGAAAAATATAAAATCCTGGATATATTCTGATACGGGTTTGAAAGGTTGTCATGTTAAGTGTTTGGCGAAAGTGAGATTAGATAGGTGCTTAGCGAAGGTGAGATCAGGTTAGGTGTTTGGCGAAGGTGAGATCAGGTTAGGTGTTTGGCGGAGGTGAGATCAGGTTAGGTGTTGGCGAAGGTGAGATCAGGTTAGGTGTTTGGCGAAAGTGAGATCAGGTTAGGTCCTTGGTGAAGGTGAGGTCAGGTGTAGGTGAAGTGTCCGGTCACAGAGGTCAGGTAATGTTGGATGTTGTCAGAGCTGAGGGATCAGCTCCTGGTAAGCTGAACGTCCTGTGTTGTTCCAAACTTGTGTTTTTTTTTTTTTTTTTGCGACAGGTTTTGCTAAAACGTACATTCATTTGTTCTGTGAGATGGTATTTCTGGGATAAATAACTGTGGAGTCCAGACATAAGCGTCACCCTGTTACTCTTCTGGTACAGAACAGATGTGCATGTGTTTGTGTGTCTTCCGCTGTACCGCACATGTATTCCCGTGACATCACTCCTGTAACCGTGTTTGTGTTCCTGTAATCCAGTGTCCAAAACTCTGGCGATCCCTCACATGGGATGCTCTGAATCCCAGCATCATGTGACTGACTTACTGATGAGCGGAAGAGACACTGTAAACAGCTATCACTGCGAGAACCTAAACAGTAACGTGTATACTTTCCCGGACTTTATAAAGCCTCAAGTAGGCGAGACGTCGTAATAATAAAAGATTTCCTTTTGTTATGCACACAGACACACTCAAACTACGTGTATTGTAGAGTTTTCACATTACAGACAAATGTACACCGTAGTGTTTGTAATATTCCTCAATATATTTCGTAATGTTTGTAATATTCCTCAGTATATTTCTTAATGTTGTTTTGATTATTTTTTTGCCGTAAATACTGATTTGAAATGTTAAGGATCTTCAGTAGAGAGCGAGAGAGAGAGAGAGGAGGAGGAGGAAAGAGAGACAAGAGAAGTAAGAGAATAAATAAAGAAAGGGAAGAGGGAGATGGCATGGCAAAAATAAATTT